GCATGAATCTCCTCTCACTCTCCATTCTCTGTCAGTTTTCTCACTCCATTTGGTGCTTGGCTGAGTTCTTTATCTCTTCATTTGATGTTTTAGGTTTTCAGGATTGTTGTATTCTCTGTTTGTCTTAGTTTTTCGGATCTTTGCTGTGGAGGGATGGCGTGGTGCCTCTGCCTACAGCGCCATTTTGCCGGAACTCTCCATCACATACAGTTTTGTAATTCTAAGTTAACAAATACAATATGCTGTCTATTGTCAAAGTAGATGGTGCAATATGTTATATCTTTTTGATACATTTTTAGTTTTCTGTAAAAATTATAGCCTAGGCAGTTCTACCCTGTCCTATGAGGTTTCTATGAGTCAGAATTGACTCAGCAATGATTTTTATTTGAGTTATTCATTAATTCAAAAATTTCTTGAGTTCCTATTACATGCCAACCAGTGTATTACATATAAAGGATAAAAAGAAAAATGAGACATGATCCTCAATCTTAGAAATACCAAGGCCTTTATATATGAACTTTATTTATGAATAAATCAGTGCAAACTATATGGCTCATGCTGTAACAAGGAAATTATTAGATACTGTTGATTGCATGTTAGTGAGCTGTTAAGTCTGATTAGTTACTTTAAGTATCTTCTTATATAATTTTGTAGTTATTCATATACAAATTATGTTGAATAATACAAAAATAAACTTTTTATTTCCAATTAATTTATGGTAGAATATTTTCTGTTTTTTCATAGTGCGATCAGAAGGGCCTATAGTCAGAAAAAAAGAGAGAGGCACATGTTAGAAAATAATGTCTTATTCTTAGCATGAGAATATGTTTTTAAATGTATAATTAAGACTTTAAAGTCACTTTGAAGACTGAGGAGGGTAAAAAAGAAAAAAAAAGATGACTCAATTCATACAATCCATTCTGCTGATGAGATCTGGCTTGAGATAGACTCTATGTTTGAAATACAACAACTATTTTTATTTTTTATTATTTTTAAGATCCAGAAAATACTTGCTTTCTTTAAACTACTCTCTGAAACAGGGAGTATTATAGCAGAAATTCTCTGTGGCATAACATATAGATTAATTGTTGACAAAGTTATAATTGAGAAGGATTTGGAGCAAATAACTATGGGGCAGTTCTACTCTGCCTTATAAGGTCGCTATGAGTCAGAATCAACTGGACGGCAATGGGAGGCCTTTATTAAAATAACACATTTAAGTAAAATACAGCAAGTTCATTAAAAAAAGTCACATATGATTTGTTTGTTGATTTGATAAAATCAAGAATTGACTTGTAGTTATTGAACATTTATTAAAAACAACAGCAAACCCATAGCTGTTGAGTCAATTCTGACTCATGGTGACTTCCACGTGTTACAGAATAGAACTGCTCCATAGAATTTTCTTGGCTTTAAATTTTACAGAAGCATATTGCCAGGCCTTTTTTCCACAGCACTGTTGAGTGGGTTTGAACTGACAACTTTTTGCATTAGTTGTTGAGTGCAAACCGTTTGCACCTCCCAGGGACCTGAACAAATATTTATAAGATATTTAACATCTGCATGTCACTCTGATAATTGTTGGAATGGAAAAATGATGCCCTTCGTGCCTGCAAGGATTTTATATTATACGGAGAGAAGACACACTTAAAGGAACTAACTGTAATGAGACAACATAGACACCATAATCAAACACTATTTTTGATGTGGTCATAAGTATAAATAGTTGAAGGAAATACCTCTTGTACAAACTCATTGATCCTTCTTCTCCTATATTAGTGCATTGCAGAAGGCAACTGGAAAAAGAGGGATTGTTATTTCCCGCTCCACATATCCTACTGCTGGACAGTGGTCAGCGCACTGGCTTGGAGACAACTATGCACGGTGGGACAATATGGACAAATCGATCATTGGTATGTGACAGTCACAATCTTTATCATTATTCTTCTGAGTTTTCTATAAGGTGTTCACCTTGGCTGGTGCTAGTTCATATACCTGATAAGTCTATCTCAGAACTATGCTTTTGACCTCTTTTATGACAGCATAGCATCACGGAGAAGCAGTGGGTCAGGAAGCAGGATCAGATGTGACGTGTAGTAATTAATGATATCTAGCTAGCTCGTTTTGAAAATATAATTTTATCCCTTTTGATTTCAGTTTCCTGGTTGGAAAAGGCAGGAGTTGCAAAGATAATATCTAGAAATAAGAAAGGGAAATAGAAGTTCTAGATTCTAGAGAATAATAATCACAGATACATGCTAATGAATGAAGCATTTTAAATGAAATTTTGAAATAGACTTTTGACCATGGTTTAACAAATAGGAGATAAGACATTATCATTTTAAAGGAGAAATGGCTACTTTTTTCCATGTCTAGTGTTAAAAATTTTTTATTATTGATAAATAGATTCAAAGAAAATGATCAATGTTTAGAAATGTTCCTTTAAAAGAAGAGCTGAGAAATCATGAGCATTCTATTTAAATGAAGTGATCATTCCTCAAAGAATTTTAGTTAATAAGAATAATTCAATTTGTTTCAACTGAAGAGATCTATGGTTACATAACTGCAGAGACAGCCTCTTTATTTTGAAAATATGAAACCGGAAAAACCACTATAATGTGTTCAAAACAGATTTGTGCTCTAAATATGTCATATTGAAAGTGTCAAGATACTTTATAGTGTCCTATTTTTATAACATCATCAACACTATACAGTAAAAAAGTATGAATATTATGAGAAGAAATGAAAGAAGAAGTATACTAATCTCAAAAATATTTGAGTTAGAAGTTAATATTAGAAATAAAGCATCTTCATAAATAGAAATAAAAAATGTCAAAGTATATGAAATGACAATTTTCTTCGATTATTTTTCTTAATTTACTTTAGGTATGATGGAATTTAGTCTCTTTGGAATGTCATTTGTAAGTAGCTCTATTCCCTTTATCTTCATATTTTATAAATATTTGAAACAAACTATTTAAAACTAATTAAATATAACAATTTGTTTTAGACTGGTGCAGATATCTGTGGCTTTTTCAATAATTCGGAATATCAACTCTGTGCCCGCTGGATGCAACTTGGAGCATTTTATCCATACTCAAGAAATCACAACATTGCAAATACTAAAGTATGTAATTACATTTACTTTCAGTCATTTCCCCCCATCAACCTTAGAAGTTTTTGAATAATATACACCCTTCCTGACTGACTTCTAGATGCATGCTTCAAACCCCTTATCTTTATATTTGCTGAGACATCTGAGCTCACCGATTTGAGAATTTTCTGACCTGGGTACTCTTCTTCATAATTTAAAGTAGATGGCTTGGTTAGATGACATACTTATTGCTGTTCTATAAAATTTTGGAGTATCCAGGGGAAAAACTAAATCTACTTCTGCAATGTTTTCTCTACTGGTGCAAAACAAACAAGAAATGAGCTCCAAACAGACATTTGGAAGTTAAAAGTCATCTAAAATACTAGTATCACTGCATGAAATTGGTAAATTGGGCATTTTGTGAAGAAATAACAGTAGACATATAAATGTTTTAATGGGAAAGCTTGCTGTCAGAAATGCAATTTAGATGATTATGATTTTGGCATTGTGGGGCATGAATCAATAAAAGCAGTCAGGTACAAATAAATGTGTATAAAGGAAAAAAAAGTACGGTAAAGGGATAGCAATTAATGAGGATTCTATTTTAGATGGGTGCTTAGGGAAGTCCTCTTGTATGAAGCGACATATGAGCAAAGACCTTGAGTGAAAGAAAGCAACCAGTATAAACATACGTAGGAGGAGAATTCCAGATGAAGGGAGGCAAGCAAAAGACCCCAAGATGGAAAGGTGGTTAGAGTTTTTGCGGAAGGATGGAATAGAGAAGTAGAGAAAAACAGAGAAGGTATTTCTAAATAAAAAATCCACAGAAAGAAACTTCAATTTACTTTAAATGTGGATTAAGAAAATTGAACTTTGGGATGTCTGGTTTAGAATTAAGTACTTATATTTCAATATGTTAAAATGGAAATTATTTTAACAGAGTCAGGAAGCAACTAATATGGTCTTTAAATCTTCTTACTTAAAGCTGAAGGTAATAGCAATAGGATTAAACATAACTTAGTAGTTCTTGGACCTATTTTACTTTCAAGATTTTACCTGCTTTAACACTACATAAACCAGCAATAACATTCAATCATCAATAACATTTCAAGCTTTCTTATTCCCAAAATTTAGAAAACTTGGAATCTCCATAGATATGACACAGATCTAAAAGGCACCAGTCATTTCTATACCAACAAAAAACATTGAAAGCATTGCCTTCTGTCATTATGCACTACAGTAGCTTTGTTTGTTTCCCTGGTACAAATGAAAATATAAAATAATCACCACTGCCTTTATCTATTATTTTTCTAAGTTGTTTGTGCAACAATTATTATTTTTTACAGGCTTTTAATCTTTCTACTATCAATTTCAGCCTTTACACCTGGAGTTTGTATTCCAAAGGGGACTCAGGCATGTTCCTTTCTTTAATCCAGTGTTAGGTCCTTCTATATGATTTTTCCTTGATACTTTTAATACTAGTACTACTATTATGCTATGAATACTGGTATTTATTTAGTTCTATAATCTATCCATTTCTCATGAGGACACATAATGTGCAGGATCATCGTGATGGGCTCTACATGTCTCTGGTTATTTCTGTCTACTTTTGTGTGCCATTTTTTTTTATTCTTCTAAGAGATTTTTCTGTTATTCTGATATTCTCTATTATTCTAATAGAATAAGCTGTTCAGACAGAACAAGCCATACTGTATGGCTTAAAATTAGGAAGGGTGTATGTCAGGGTTTTATCCTTTCACCATACTTATTCAATCTGTGTGCTCAGCAAATAATCTGAAAAGCTGGACTGTATGAAGAAGAACACGGCATCAGGATTGGAAGAAGATTCATTAACAACCTGCAGTATGCAGATGACAACCTTGTTTGCTGAAAACAAAGGCAACTTGAAGCACTTATTGATGAAGATCAAAGACTACAGTAGTCTTCAGTATGGATTGCACCTCAACATAAAGAAAACAAAAATCCTCACAACTAGACCCATAAGCAACATCATAATAAATGGAGAAAATATTGATATTGTCAAGGATTTCATTTTACCTGAATCCACAATCAATACCCATGGAAGCAGCAGTCAAGAAATCAGATGATGCATTGCATTTGGTAAATCTGCTGCAAAATATCTCTTTAAAGTGTTAAAAAGCAAAGATGTCACTTTCAGGATTAAGGTGGGCCTGACTCAAGCCATGGTATTTTCAGTTGCCTCATATGCATGTGAAAGCTGGACAATGAATAAGGAAGACCACAGAAGAATTGATGCCTTTGAATTATGGTGTTAGGGAAGAATATTGAATATACCATGGACTGCCAGAATAATGGACAAATCCATCTTGGAAGAAGTACAACCAGAATGCTCCTTAGAAGCAAGGATGGCGAGACTTCGTCTCACGTACTTTGGACATGTTATCCGGGAGGGCCATACCCTGGATAAGGACATCATGCTTGGTAAAGTAGAGGGTCAGAGAAAAAAAGGAAGACCCTCAATGAGATGGACTGACACAGTGGCTGCAATGATAGACTCAAGCATAGCAACGATTGTGAGGATGGTGCAGGACAGGGAAGTGTTTCATTCTGTTGTACGTAGGTTTGTGTGAGTTGGAACCGACTTGACAGCACCGAACAACAACAATAGATTTCTCACCCCACATCTATCACTGTATTTGAAAGTGTATTTATGTCATTTATTAAAAAATAAACTGCTTTTCACATATTTCACCTAAATTTTATCAAGCTATGGGCTTAATTAAAGGAAATATACAAATTGACAATCATTTTTATATTTTGTTTATTAAAAGATTACCATTATGTGCACTCTCCCTCTCCCACTCTCTCTTTCTGTGTCTCTGTTATATGATAAAGAGAGAAATATTATTGCATGTTCATTTTGGGAAGAAATTACATAGCACATGGCAGTGCATTAATATTTTTACATTTTATTCTCCAAATGTGTACTTGAATATTGTGATTTAAAATGAAATGGACAAGAACTCATGACTATTAATGTACTTATTTTGCTCTATTTCAGAGGCAAGATCCTGCTGCCTGGAATGAAACTTTCGCTGAATTGTCAAAGAATATTCTAAATATTAGATACAATTTATTGCCGTATTTCTATACACAGATGCATGAAATTCATGCTCATGGTGGCACTGTTATTAGACCCCTTTTGCATGAGTAAGTGCAAAATTTTGGGTTTTTTTCTTCCTACCACAAAGAGATACTTATCATTTAATTCACTCAATAATCTCTTATAGTGCAGTATATAAAACATTTTAGACTGGGAATCTGTACATTATGATTTTAGCATATATTTTGAGTTAATGAAGCATTTGCATACATATCTCTATCACTAAGCAGACTAACGAAGATACTATTTTAGAATGAAATACATTAATCAGTTTTTGAGAGGCAATAATTCTTATATGAGAACAACTACAGTGTATCAGGTATTGTTCCAGATGCACTGCATGTATTATTACATTGAATCATTTCAAAAATCCTCAGAGATAAGTAATGTGATCCCTATATTATAATCAAATTCACTGAGTTTTACGGTAGTTAAGTAAATCTACCATAGATAGATGCCTAACTGAAGAGGGCCATCCCACTTCTTCTTGGAGGTGAGCTAATAGGATACCCTAGAACAGTCCCAACATTCTCCTTAGGAATTTTTTTTAGATTCACTCCATAAAGCTTAAACCTGTTTATAATCAAATACTGAAATTTCTACTCAATAGGGAATATTTGGAAAAATTTTTTGCCTGGGTTGTCTTTAAGGCATATACCAGCACATTCCTTCTGTGGATGTTACCAAAACAAACAAAAAATCAAATTAAAAAAAATCACAAATAAATCCTTAATAAAATAATCATAGTATACTTAGCTTCTTCTGTACCCTAGATTACCAGGGTAATTGAATGACGCAACATTTCCTTCTGTTATACATAAACTCGCTACAAGTTAGAGCCAACTCAGTGGCAACTAACAACAACATTCTCAAACAATAAAAACCAGGTTTTATTGTTTCCAAACTTTTTTACTTCAAATTCAGAAATTTATTAGCAAATGTAAAAATGCATGTTGTCGTTGTTATTAGGTGCCTTTGAGTCGGTTCCAACTCACAGCGACCCTATAGGACAGAGTAAAACTGCCCCCATAGGGTTTCCAAGGACAGGCTGGTGGATTTGAACTGCCGACCTTTTGGTGAGCAGCTGAGCTCTTAACCACTGTGCCACCAGGGCTCCTAAAAACGTATAAGGGCATTAAAATCTGCTATTTAGTAAGCCTTACTTTAAATAGGATAAACAAACTCTTTTTAAAGTTACCAAATCAAGATTCTTATAGCATATTTGTCTCATGATTCTCTTCCAAGGAGTTTATAATTTTGCCTCTTAGTTTGTTTATCATATATTAGGCAAAACTAATACTTCTACTTCCATGAGTTCTCTTCCAAGTAGATTTCTCATTCAGTTGGCATTACAAGTCCATTATAATTCTCTGCATTTTGTCAGGAAACTTAGTCATAGTCTAGATTTACTCAAGATGTCTTGTACTGTACATTGAATTCCAAGTGATAGAATTGTCTGAATTTTTATAATTTGATATTTATTTTTTACACCAAAATCCATACTACAAAATGCAATTTGAAAAATTTTGGTATTCAGAAGAGAAACCTTCTTTGATTTAATTTAATTATTTGCAATTATTTTATCAAGGTTCTTTGAAGAAAAGCCAACCTGGGATGTATACAAGCAGTTCTTGTGGGGTTCAGCATTTATGGTTACTCCTGTATTGGAACCTGTAAGTACTGGACATAATATTTTTCACAAAAAGTATTTTTCTTTGCTTTACGTATATTTTTTAATTACTCTATCTTTAACTTCCAGAATGTTAATACTGTACAAGGCTATATCCCTAATGCTCGATGGTTCGATTATCATACAGTAAGTATTTAGGAAATTCTGGAGAATTTATTAAATAGAAATGATAACAATTTTATCATAGCCTTTTCATTAATGATGTATTTGGATTGTTTTACTTTTAAAAAGATCAAGATATTTCTTGCTAATTAAGCTGAACCAAATTAGTACACAGTGACAGAGCTGATTTATTCTGCTATTGTTAGTTATGTAGTCATTGATTTATTTTAGTAAATAAACGTGAAAAGTGCACATTATACACACAAAAAGGTGATTGCTCTTTATTGAAAATGCAAAATGATAATTAAGAGGGATGCAGTTCTTTTAAAAATAGTGTACATGACAAGTCAGAGATCATTTTTGTGACCTTTCCACAATCTACAAATTTTCTGCACGTGAACTCCACAAAAACAAGTAGCTGTAAGTTACTTTTAAAGATAGCTTAAAATTAAATACAAACTCTATGCTTTAAATGTGATTTCCTAACCAAATGTTTGAGTTTTTATTAATATTTAAATGGAAAACAGAATTATTTGATTTTATAACTGTACCCCCTCAAGTAAATGAGTGTACTAATGTTGCTGATGATTCCACTCCTGCTGCTCTTGTTCTTCCTCTGAACCCTGTCATTTCCAGGGCCAAGATATTGGAGTGAGAGAAAAATTGTATACATTTGATGCTCCTTTTGATAAAATAAACCTGCATGTTCGTGGTGGCCACATTCTACCATGCCAAGACCCTGCCCAAAACACATTTTTCAGGTAAGTGAAGTATTACAGAATTCCGGTTTAAACTTGGAGATGCATCATGGTAGAATTGTTAAGAACTGGGAAGGGCCTGAGGTTTTGCTTGCAAGCTAACAGCTTAGCCATGCCACCGTATTGTGGATGCTGAATTTTATTACTCATGGCACAGAAAGAAGCATGAGCTTCATGCTTGCTTCAGTTTTCCTTGTCAGCAAGTTCCGTGGGGGTCACACAGAATGACCTATATGGATGCTGCACGTGCAGTGGATTGGAGTCACAGCTGAGGTACCCCAAGTCTTTTATAATGGACTGCAAGCAAACCTATCAGTCCTCTGTGCTTTGATGGAAGACTTTATTATACTGGACGGTTAAAAAAAAAACAAAAAACTGCCATCTGCTTCGCTGTCCTCCCATGATGTTTGCTTTAAAAAATCTTTGAAAAGATAGCTCAAAAGAAAAGCCGCCTGTGTTTCTGCTTACAAGACATGCAGAAATGCAGAAGACTTACGGAAAATTTTTATCCTAGAAGATACCCTCTCTAAAATAGTAAAGTGTCCCAGAATCAAAATATAAATGGAAACTTTACATCCTCTCTATACAACATGCAGAGATATTGACAAATGAAGGTCTTTTATTTTAAATGATGACCTCAGCTAAGTCCTCACTTTTTTTCCATCTTTTACATTGTGAGAAGAATTTTTATTTAATACATAAAAATATTATTTTTGACCTTATAAACCTTTTTATAAACTATAAGCTAATGTTGTTGTGGAGGACCTTCCTTTCCGTCTATTTCCCTTTCTCTGCCTTCCTCTGTCCATCCCATGAGATATTTTCAGACTCACTATGGTCCATGGAAGGAGTCCCTGGGTGGCGCAAAAGATTAAGTGTTTGACTACTAGCCAAAAGCTTTGCAGTCTGAACCCCCGCAAAAGCACCTTGAAAATCCTATGCAGCAGTTCTACTCTGTACACTTGGGGTCACCATGGGTCAGAATCCACTGGACAGTAGCTAACAATGACCCATAAAAATGAAGCTATCCATTGACAAGATCACTACCTTGTCGAACTGCTAAGTTCCCTACTGTCCACAGTGAAACCAAACCTGTTTCTTAGCAGCCTTGCCTTCTAATAGGATATAGGTTGACCTAAATTTTCTATCCATCCCCATTTATAACTGGTATTCTGGCCAAGACCTTCTTTTGTTTGTCAAAGGCCCCTCACCTGATATTCTCTCCCTCTCACTCAGCAGTATGTTTATCTTACCAGGAACTATGGGTCCACACTGTCTGCTATAATTGACGCAAGAGTGAGTCTCTTATGTCAGTCATAGAATCTCTATTTATAGTGCCTTAATATCTGGCTTAGATATTCAGATTATAGAGGACTCAGCCTTTGTTCCTCTTCTTTTTTCATGCTGTATTCACTCTCCTGAAATTCTACATGTTGACAGCTCCAGTTGACATGAATAGACTGTTGTCATCTCCTGGAAACACCAAGCTCCATTTATAATGATATTCTATACTGATGTCAAAGAGGAAAAAAAAGTTATCCTACCTGATAGTGAGGGCTTCATAGAGGAGACTAGTCAAAGTTGTGCCTTGAAGAATTTTTATTATTTTTATGACAGAGAAGGAGAAAGGCCATTCTATGTGTGCATGTGTGGGAGACAGTAAATAAGATACAGGATTTATGAGTAAGAACAGGGTAGAATGTAAGTTTTGAAATTCTTTATTATCTCAAGTTTTAATGTATATTGGAGAATTGTGGGTGAAACCAGGTTTTTGTTACTAATAAGATATATACCTCTTTTACCACAGTGGTTGTGAGCTGAAATATATACATACATGTATGTACACAGATATAGTACATATATGTGTTATGTATTATATATGTGTATATGTATGTGTGTGTGTGTGTATATATCTAAACCTGTTGCTGTCTTGTCAATTCCGACTCATGGCGACCTTATAGGACAGAGTAGAACTGCCCCAAAGGGTTTCCAAGGAGTGACTGGTAGATTCAAACTGCGAACCTTTTGCTTAGCAGCCGAGCTCTTAACCACTGCACCACCAGACCTCCATATGTATATATATATATGTGTGTGTGTGTGTGTGTGTGTGTGTGTGTATACATCTACATACATATAT